AGATATGACGGAGAACTGATGGAATGTACCTAGTTTTACCCCCTTTCCGCTTTTCAAGGTGTTACGTACATTGCCGTGCTAAGAAAAAACGCCGTATGAACCTTCAAGCGTTACCAAATTTCCTCCAATAAAAACCAAATTTACTGAGAAAATCGTGAATATTTGTTTCCAAAATTTTCACACAGTTTTTTACGCAATTTAATCTAAAATATCTGGAGGTTTCGAGGAAAAATATACATAAATTTCGTCAAAAATACATGTTTTATCGAAGGAAATTTGGCAATTCTCGAATATTCAGACAGCGTTTTTCCTTAGCACAGGCGTACAAATCGACGGTGAAACCACGAGAAAACCGTCTTAATGCGACGTTTTAAAATATCCCGTAACCACCTTGCTTTCTTTCGAGTGTATTATTGCACTTTTCTAAGAAATTTTCATAGAGTGCTTTCGGAGAGTATAAAGGGTTGTATGGAGCCGGTACCTACATACGAGCTTCAGATGCAGGTCTGCAAATTTATCATAAAAAAAGAACCAAACATCAAATTGATTGTCAGGGAATTTTCTTTCACAACTACCCCTAGAAATCCCAAGACGGGTCAAATTGACCCGACTGTCTCCTCTGGGGGAGTATGGGGTCGGCATTTATGCGCTGTACATATAGGTCTACAAATAGGTACAACCCTAAAAAGGATCAGACATCAAATTAAAAAACACAGAAAATAATCGAATGCCAATTAACACAGCCGAAGACAGGAGATACTTCATCGGGCTCTGTAGTTAAACTTTTCTCCCGAATCTGAGCGACACTTCTTTGGCAGCACAGAGCAAAGCATTGCGAGTTCACATATCGCGCCATGGCGCCTTCAATTTTACAGATGCAACACGGACATCCATCAAGCACGAATAGTTGTATCTCTTCGCCGTCATCAATGCACATCCTTTCCCTTGCTCTATTTCCATGTTTTGTTGGTTTCGTTTGTTTTGTTTGTGGTGGTGCTTCAAGGGGTGGCTCTGTGAGCGACTGAGCAACACAGCCGAAGATAGGAGAGATGTTAGCGGGCCTCGATTTTGAACTTTTCTCCCGAATCCGAGCGACACCTCGTTGGCAGCATAGAGCGAAGCATAGCGGGTTTGCGCCTCGTGTCATCGAGCTTCAAATTTTGCAGATACAACACGAACATCCATCAAGCACGACTGAATAGTTGTAACTTTGCGCTGCCGTCAACACTGCCGTGCTAAGGAAGAACGCCGAATGAACATTCGTACAACAAATTTCCTTCGATAAAATGTTCGTTTTTAAGGAAAGTTAAGAATATTTTTCCTTGAAATTTTCAGAATCTTTGGGTATAATGGTGAACTAAATTATCTGGAAAATTGGGAGGAAAATATTCATGTATTTACCGGGAAATTCGCGTTTTATGAGAGGAAAACTGGCAACGCCTGAAGGTTGATACGGTGTTTTTTCTTAGCAAGGCAGAGCGCACGTTAAGGTGTCTCTTACTTTTGAAATCTGAGAAAAGTTGAGGTTACATTTGCTCAAAATATGCTACGATAATCCGAATCGATGTCATTTTGAAGAAAAAATATTTTAGAGGTCTCCCAAGCGTCGTAAAGAGCGTGTGTCTAAAAATTGGTATTTTAGCGACTTGCGAGAGTTAAGTCATGCCGTGGTCAGGAGACTATAGAATTGACTTATCTATTTTGACAAACAAATTCAATGGAATATAGGCGTGGTTTTTTTAGAAGAAAAATATCGCATTCGAGTGCAGTTTCGATATCCGTATCGAATGCGATATTTTTCCTCAGACAAAACCAAGCCTTTATTAATTTGAATTTTTTTGTCAAAATTGGTAAGTGAATTCTTTCGTCTCCTGACAACAGACTTGCGATCTCAAAATTCGAGAAAAATGACGAGTAGCATAAAAATGGAACCAATCGATGCGATATATAGCATGTCGTTTTGACACAAAATATAGCGTCCATCAAAGTTCCCAACCCGCGAGAATCCTGTTTCAATTTCGAGTGATTACCGTGCGTGCAACTGTAAGGGCCGTACTCCGAGCTGGAAATAGGACGAATCGATGGCGGCACGGAGATGGCTCGAGAGAGCGATACCATCGAATCATGTTTGTAACAGAATTAATCAAGGTTCATTAATAACAATCACAGCTTGAGATACGCTTCAATTTGTAGCGTGCTTCGCACATCGCACAAGATCCGAACGAGTCAGCGCCAGCTCTGCCGTGCGAAGAAAAACCGCCCTATGAGCTTTCAGACGTTGCTAGATTTGATTTGATAAATTGCGGATTATATGGGGGATTTGTAATCATTTTCCCCCCGCTTTTTTGGATATTTTTCTTTGCAATTTAATCTAAAATATTTAAAAATCCCAAGAAAAAATATTCATAACTACCCTCTAAAATAAACAATAAATCGCGAGAGACTTGGCAACATTTGAATGTTTATAGGACATTTTCCACGGCAGAGTTGGGGACATGCTTCACATTCGAGCTTGTGAGGGTGCATGTGAATGTTTCTGGGGCCTGGGCTCCTTGGAAAAAAGAGGGTTTTTTGATTAGGCCCTTACTAAGTGTGCCACTTTTAATTTGGGGGGGGGGGGGCAGTTATGGCTCTTGCAGTTAATGCAGTTATTTTCTTTTTATACATTTACCAAAAACAAATAACTGAGATTCATGTAGCAGAGGAGATATCAGGAGAGAGCTGTGGGTACCTACTTTAATCACTCTCCTAAGCCATTCATTTAGGGGTGTTCAAACGAATTCTTGCCGGAACACTTTCGACATCGTCTCTTATTGAAACTGGCGGCAGTACCGACAGTGGCCATGATATCGACAACAGCCGGCCTTATCGGAGTTTTGAGAGCTCGCACTCAATACATTGTTGCCCCGTGTGTCGGTTTATCAGATTGCCTGGCGCGGCGGCGCGTAAAATAGATGTACAATTGGCAACAGCTTATTTTCGCCAGCTCCGAAAACTCTGATCGCTATCGGTAAGAGCGCTCTTATCGTAACTTTTTCTTAACGGAACTGTTTCGGTGGCTTACCGACAACCGATTGAACAGCCCTACATTCATTGGACTGTAGTACTACTGTAGTAGTGGGGTGTTCATGTTTCTCTATACTAAGTATGTGACTTTGATCTCATCACATATGTTGGTAGCATTTTTTAGTCAAGTCACGGTAAAAAGAGGAATTTCAGAGTAAATTTTCCATGTTGCAATCAGGAAAAACTAAGCTCATTTACGTTAACACATTAGGCACTTTTCCTACATAGAGCCACGCAGTTAAAGAAGACAAAATTTCTCTAGTGAAAATGTGGGGATAAGGAAGTGCATTACATTTCTGTCATCTTTGACATTTTATTCCACTCAATTTTCAGTCAGGGAAAGTACTTAGCTAAAATTTTCGTCTCAATTTTTAAAATTTCTCGAGGGGGGGGGGGGCTCTTGGACCCTCCTTTGGAACTTATTGTTAATGAGTACCCTTTGGTGTGG